AACAAATTACTTTAAACAAAATGATGTGGACTGATGAACAATTTAGAGCAGTGGTCTTAAACTCAATTCCTGGAGGGCCGCAGCACTGCATGTTCATCTCCAACCACCTCCAACTCACACCTGCTTAATAGTCTGTAGTAGTCTTGAACACCTTGACTATTTGGATCAGCTGTGTTTAATTAGGGTCGGAGCAAAACTGTGCAGAGCTGCGGCCCTCCAGGAATTGAGTTTAAGATGATTTAGAATATACAATGTGATTTTCTTTAAAGGAAACACAGTTTATGTAACAATAACATTACAACTGAATATGACAGCAGGCTGACCTCAGAGTCTGATATTTACAGCAACACACTGTAGATATCCATGGGTTTCATCTGTGAAGCTCCTGAAGTAAAATGAAAACTCTCATTAATGCATATCATAGATAAATGAAGCATCTAATATTGTGCAAAAAGTCTGTTTATTTAGTTTGCTGAGCATCAGTTCCACCTGTACAACCACAGTTAATCCATTCATCATGATCCAGATGCAAAGAGCATCGTTTCTCCACATCTGTGTTATTTACAGTGAACATGTGGAGCTCCTATCAAACACACACACACGCACGCACGCACGCACGCACGCACGCACGCACACACACACACACACACACACACACACACACACACACACACACACACACACACACACACACACACACCCACACACACACACACACACACACACACACTGTCTGTTTGTGCAAAACTCTCCAGTAAACACCACCAAATCATGTACAACTGCTTTCCCAACCCTGTTCCTGGAGGCACACCAACAGTTTTGGATGTCTCCCTTATCTGACCCATTAACTTTAGGTTTTGGCGTCTCTTCTAATGCTCTGATGAGGTGATTCCGGTGTGTTTGATTAGGGAGTGGTTGAGAATGTAGACTGTTGGTGTGTCTTCAGGAACAGGGCTGGGAAACACTGATCTAGCAGACAAACATCTGAACACAAACCACTAAATTCAGGATCCAAAAGCAATGACTGAAATTCATGTAGAGCAAATGTGCGAATTGTAGAGCAAATGTGCGAATTACTAAGTTTTTGTCTTGTTTCTAGTCCAGATACCTCAAAACTCTGTAATCAAAAGCATTTTCCGGACAAGAATAAACTATTGTCTTGATTTAAGAAATAATGGGTCAAAATAAAGTGAGTTTTTCATTGAAACAAGCTAAATAATCTGACAACGGGGGACAATGTTAAAATAAAAAAACATGTATCAGCGCTGCGTACGCACAAAAACTTTGCGTGCGCCAGGTTTCACGCTCATGTTTGGATTTACTAATGATGAAATTAACGTGAGAATGTGCATTAGTCCATGCCAACTTCGTATTTGGCGTACGTGTATTTCCAACAGAATCTTACGGCAATTTGTAACTTTTTGATTTATTCGTTAATTTGTTTGAATTCGTAGGATCTAATTCGTACAATTTAGTACGACTTGCTCATCCCCCGATGACGGCTGGGTTTAGGGGTGGGGTTAGGTGCCACGCCTCCTTTTTAAAATCGTACAATTTCGTACGACGAACTCGTACGAATTAGCCACTAAACTGTCAAAACGTAAAATACTTACGTTTTTTTTCGTGAGATCAGGCTGGTATTTCTTGTGTGTGTTTGTTTTATTTCCACTGGCGTCTCCCAGAGGTCGTGATGTTAAATTGCACACTACAAAGTATCGCACCAGCACATGTGAAAAACATTGCTGTTCATTTATAATTGATTAAATTGGTTCATTTTCACAGTTTTTTTTTTGACCAATTATGTGATTTAGAACATCTAACAGCATTTGCAAATGTACACAAGCCCTAGTCTAGGGCAGTGTTGGCCTTATTAGAGGACATTGTCAATGGGGGAATTCGAATGCTCCAAGGTGGCAGGGTGCGGGTTGGGTGGCTTCTTGGTGAGTGATGTATTTAAAGACATTATTCCAGCTAAGTTTTTATTTTATTTAATTTTTTATTAAGTGTAATTATTTAAATGCATATCAGAAGGCCGCGGTTATCCATTAAAGATGTGGCTGTTAACCTCCCTTAACAACCCACAAACTGACCAAGAGCGCAGATACAGTGATGGCCATCAGGGGCGGACTGCGACAAAAATTCAGCCCTGGCACTGTTGCCACACCAGCCCACATTACCACACCGACAAAGCCCCACCCACGGACATGCAAATTCACTATTTATTTTGGTGTACAGATGGTGAAATAATATGACATTCTTGCCAAATTTTGATTATGTCCGGGTAACCTTAGATTGGGTCGGCCCATCTTGAAACCAGGTGGCAGTTGCAGATTGGGCCAAATGCTTAACATTTATTATTATTATTTTTATTATCATCATCGTAATATTACATCTAGCAAGAGATAAAAGCTGTCTGCACTTAAAAACAATACATATTTTTAAAAAAAACTGACCGGCCCACATTTAAAAATTGGTCCGGCCTTTCTGGCATTTACCAGAATTGCCAGATGGCCAGTCCGCCCCTGATGGCCATTCTCACACTCAGTTGTAGAGCGGGTGATTGGGCAGCTGAAATGCCGGTGGCGCTGCCTTGATAAGAGCGGAGGGGTGCTGCTATACCGCCCTAACAGAGTGTTCCTCTAATACATCTGTGTCTCCCACAGACACGGACACTACTCCAGACAGTAAAGTGAGGCAACTCTCTCCTCAAAGGGTGTTAGATCAGTATCCCCTGTTCCCCCACCTGTTCGCTCCACACTTTGACGGTGCGCCGCTGTTCTCCTCTTAACCTGCACCTTTACATCAGACCATTTCTTTTTTAATTCACTCACAGTGTGATGTTCAGACTTCCACTGTGTTAACTCTGTCAGCTAATCTCTCACACTCTATTTATTTCTTTTGTTTTTATCTGGTCTACCTATGATAGGAGCACCTCCAACTCACATTCTGTGAAGTTTCTCTTCTTGCCTGCTTTTGCTGTTGCTTTTTCCTTTGGTTTTGCCAAAGTATAGTCATTAGCATATTCATATGAGGGAGGAGGCAGGGAGGGGTTTTGCGCTCGTGCATGTGCGCTCAGGTTCACGTTAATTCAGATGTACAAAGAGAATATGCGTGGGATTCAGCGTACGCAGTGTTCATACATCTGAATTCTGTACTGCGTGCGCACATTTACAGCTTTGTCCGTACGCAATGTTTTCGAATGAATTCAACACAAGCCTTTGTACATGAAGCCCCTGATTATTTTTCTCATTGCTGTGTGTTTATCTAAAAAGAACAGAATGATCATCAGCCAATCAGAAGCAAGCATTCATTGTCCTACAGTGTAATATTAATGAGCTGCAGTAAATATCATTAATGAGACCTCAACTCTTGTATTTTTGGCCGTGTCTCCCAACACTTCTATTTTTAGAGTCTCCTATATTTTACACTGTTTTGGTATTTTCCTGGGAAACTTCTATTATTCGTATGGCCCAATCTGACCAAATATTCATATACTTACAGTTTACACTATTTTCTTTATTGTTGCTTGTTCAAACTACTTATTTAAAATCAGCTAAGACAATATTATTGAGATTTTGGTCGTTGGGACAACTTAATTTTTTTCTTCAATTTTTTCTTAATTGTTTTGTTCAGTCCACTTAAATGTGTAAAATCTGTTTAAAAAAACACACACACACATAATTCCACACAATTCCTTTGTGTTTTCTAACACTAATCCAAATAACTTAAATGTTTTTAAAAATTTAAGTGGATCGAACATAAAACAATTTAGTTGTGCCAAACAAAACTTAAGAACTCAATGTTGGTTCAACTCATATTAAATAAGTTGTTTGAACAAGCCACAAAGTCAATTTTGGTGTGCAGGAGGGTGAATTATTGTCTTAAAAACCACGTTTAACCATGAACGTCCAGATGTTTGACTGCTAGTGAATATAAAACTAAAATCTGTTCCCTTTTCCTCGGGTTTAAAGGGGTAGTTCACCCAAAAACGAATATTTACTCACTATTTTCTCTCCCTTTAGTGATTCCAAACATTTATGAGCCTCTTTCTTCAGTTGAACACAAAAGAAGATATTCTGAAGAATGTTCAAACCTGGTAACCATTGATTTCAATAGTGGGAAAAACAAATACTATAGCAGTCGATGGTTACAGGGGGCAGCACGGTGGCTCAGTGGTTAGCACAGCAAGAAGGTTGCTGGTCTGACTCAAAGCTTGGTCAATTGGCGTTTCTGTGTAGAGTTTGCATGTTCTCCCCATCTTGGCGTGGGTTTCCTCCGGGTGCTCCGGTTTCCCCCACAGTCCAAACACATGCGCTATAGGGGAATCGATTAACTAAATTGGCCGTAGTGTATATACGTTTTTGTGTGTGACTGTGTATGGGTGTTTCCCAGTACTGGGTTGCAGCCGAAAAATAATACGCTGTGTAAAACGTATGCTGAAATAGTTGGTGGTTCATTCCGCTGTGGCAACCCCTGCTAAATAGGGGACTAAGCCAGTCTGATCTCACGAGAAAACATAAGTATTTTACGTTTTGTTAGTTTAGTGGCTAATTTGTACGAGTTCAGTCGTATGACATTGTACGATTCTAAAAAGGAGACCCCTAAACCCAACCGTCATTGGGGGATGAGCAAATCATACTAAATTGTACGAATTAGATCGTACGAATTCATCCGGAATAGCTACTCAATCAAAAAGTTACGAATTGCTGTGAGATTGCGTTGACTAAGCCGAAGGAAAATGAATTAATTAATGGTTGCAGGTACATTTCTCAAAACATCTTCTTTTGTGTTCAACCTCAAACTTGTTTGGAACATTTAAAGGGAGATTAAATGATGACAGAATTAATTTTTTTAATGAACTATCCCTTAATTTAATTCCTCCAGCTGATCTGACATCAGTGCACCGTCGACAGATCACAGTATAAACATTTCTCTCATCCGTCTTCAACTCCGCCATAAATCACACACAGAATAAAAGCCAGGAAACTTCAGCAGGAAACTCAGAGATAAACACGTCTGGGTTATTAATAATTCATGTCATCAGTCAGAAAAACAGCAGCGTAGGAGAGAAAAGATAACGTGGTGTACAAACACAATAAGAACGCACATCATTTACTACCCGGAGACAGAGAAACCATAATAAACACGGCTTGTTTTCACGTTCACAGATATCTCGAGTGAGCTGAACTGAAAAATAAGCATCAAAGGAAAGACGAGTTCAAGTTTGAGCGAGTTCATCGGCTGACCGTCTCCTCCAATCAGGCGCTGGTCTGCTTTTGACTGACATCTGCTTTATGGGAGGGGCTATGGGCGGGGCTTATTCCATATAAAAAGCACAGTTCTTGTCGTTTTCTTCCCAATAGCACACCGTGTCCCATAGGAAAGTGTTCGGACTCCTCCATCGGTCAGTGTCTAGAAAAGCTTCAGCTGGAGTAGATCTGAGTGCCGATCACACGCATGATCTCCTTCTGGATTTTGGGCTCCTGTGTGTTAATATTAGCATCTCCCACCTGACCGTCTTCATACCTAAGACATCATAATGATAATGATAATAAATAATAATTCTATTGGCTTTCTAGACAGCCAAGGTTGCCTTACAACTAACACGCCAAACAACAAACCACTGTGGTCAAATGACTTGCCTAATTAAGCTAATTAGGTCTTTAAATTGTACTTTTAGCATCTCCCACCTGACCGCCCTTGTACCTTAGATATAACAATAATAATAATAATGATTATATTGGCTTTCTAAATTCCTTGGTTTGCCTTGAACAAACATGCCAAAAACAAATTCATAAAGGATGGCCAAACATTATTTCAGATACATAAGAAATAAGAAAAAGATCAACATGGTATAAAGTCTGAACAAGGTCAGGAATTAGAAGAGGTTTATCCCCTCTGCTATTGTTTTTCTTTTGATTTTGTAAATGAAATGTGTATTTCTGAATGTATTTTTGTTTGTTGTATTTGAATTGCTGTGTGTGAGCCTCAATTTTCTAACCCCTTTGGGAAAATACAATGTTTTTTTATTTATTTAATTGAATCCTAACATGATATGAAAACGTCCTAAGAAAGCCTGATTTACATACATACATACATACAAGGGTTCATTAGAAAACTATGATGGTGTGATTTTTATGATAATATCAATTTACAAATGAATAAATTAATACATTAATACATACATTATTGTATATATATATGTGTGTGTGTGTGTGTGTGTGTGTGTGTGCGTGTGGGTATGTATGCATGTATGCTGAAGTCAGAATTATTATCTTTGAATTTGTTTTCTTTTTGTAAATATTTCCCAAATGATGTTTAACAGATTCAGGAAATGTTCACAGTATGTCTGATAATATTTTTTCTTCTGGAGAAAGTCTTATTTGTTTTATTTTTGCTAGAATAAAAGCAGTTTGTAATTTTTTAAACACCATTTTAAGGTCAATATTATGAGCCTCTTTAAGCTTTATATTTCGATAGTCTCCAGAACAAACCATCATTATACAATAACTTGCCTAATTACCCTAACCTGCCTAGTTAACCCTAATTAACCTAGTTAAGCCTTTAAATGTCACTTTAAGCTGTATAGAAGAATATCTAGTCTAATATTATTTACTGTCATCATGACAAAGATAAAATAAATCAGTTATTAGAGATGAGTTATTAACACTATTATGATTAGAAATGTGTTGGAGAAATCGGCTCTCCTTTAAACAGAAATTGGGCAAAAAATAAACAGCAGGGCGAATAATTCTGACTTCAACTGTTTATATGCAATTTCAAGCATATTTATCTGCAAATTTTGAACTATAGAATCAGAATGAGCATTTATATCTGTGTATATACTCACACGAAGAAGAAGCGCGTGCAGACATGGTCAGACACCGGACACACCCAGATGTTCCCATGTTTCTGCAGGTCTTTGGATGTGATCACTGTGAACACAAACACACATAAACACACACACAATAACACACAAACACATGAACACATACGCAAAAAAAACACACACACACAAAGACACACACATAAACGTAAAACAGACCCACACACACACACACACACACACACACAAGCAAGACTCAGGTCAAAAGTGGTAAATTTATTCATTCAATTTAATATATAAGTACATTTTTTTAATCAAGGAAATGTTTTTGAGTGTGTGTGTGTGTGTGTGTGTGTGTGTGTGTGTGTGTGTAAATCTGAGTTGTTTTACCTTCACAGAGAGCGATGCAGTTTAAATTTCTGCTCTGGAGGAAACGCGACTGAATCGGGCGACTCTGTTAAACACATTCACACGCGCGCAAACACGCACACACAGACACACAAATACATTTAAAGAAGCAAAATCAAACATGCTCTGAGTTTGTCCGTTTGTAGATTTATAACAGCAGACAAACACACACACACACACATCCCTATGTTACCTGTGGCATGGTGTTCATTCGGTTATACCGCTGTACCAGTTCATCTTTAGTGGGCATGCGATGCTGACCCTTCCCCATTCCTGAACACACACAAACACACAAATAAATCCACCGCTGCTCTCACAAACATCCCTGTTCCTAAAAGAGGCGATGCAACACTATAGAGTTTAAAAACTAAACATAAAATAAAAGATAAAAATAAAAAAATTCTAAAATAGACATCAAAACATTTCAATTGCTAATAAAAATCAATAATAATAAACATTATAATGAATCAAATTTAATAAGAAATAAAAATATATTATTAATTTCTTCGTTAATTTTCCTATGGCTTCGTTCCACTATTTTTCAGGGGTCGCCACAGCAGAACGAACCACCTAAAATATAATAAAATAAAATAATTAAATAAACATTTTTGAAGTAGCATTACATTCGATTTTTTAGAAATATTAGTAAATAACTTCTAGCTTTAAAGGTGCAGTGTGTAAGTTTGACACCCAGTGGTTGAACTAGGTATTGCACTCCTGGTTCAAAACACACGCAAGTGCAGGTTGCCAGATTGAGGACTCCAACAAAGGCTGATTTAAGCCGTCTTATAAATAAAAGCACCACCACATGATAGGAGGAATATTTTCCATATTAAAATTAGTTTTTGTCCTGACTAATAGTTGTAATATATATTAGAAACTAGGGCTTGGCGATACTGCAAAATTTGGTATCGATACGATACCAAGTAAATACAGGGCCAGTATCGCCGATATCGATTCCGATACTGATACACTGAAAAAAAAAAGGTGTCTGCAAAACTGTTGCAAACAATTTATTTGTGTTGAATTTAAACAAATAAATTAAATGTAATAAAATTCTACTAAATTTGATTGTTTAAGTTCTGCCCAAATAATTTGTTTACAACCACTTGTCATTAAAAAAATTGAGTAAATCCAAGGAATCATTTCTGAATCATTTTTTTCAGTGTACTTTAACTTTAAAAAGCATGCACTTGAACCTAAATGTACTTTTCTGTAGGGGAGAACAGTGTGTGATGGTTTATGAGTTGAATGCTCTCAAAGCAGCTATAATTAAACGTATTTGTTAAAACCCAGGACACATTTAAAACACTTTTAAGCCAAATAAAAACATTTTTATTATTGTAACGATCCGGATTTGCAAACACAAACTTATAAATTAAATTTTTTAACTCTTCTTCAGTCTGGGGTTTTTGTTCAGAAACAATAATATAATAATAACAAAACCATTTCTCTTTTAGCACTTCTTTGATGTCTTTAAACAAATAAATGTACAACAAATATAGATTTTAAATATATTTTTTAATAAACTAAGACCATGTTACTGGCGAACAAGTGTTTTAAAACCTTCAGTTTTTGTTCACTGTCTTGTTCAAAATATCAAAATAAAGAGTTTCTCTTTCATTAGAGACTAAACATTGCCTTATTTTATAAACAAAGTGCAAACAGCTGCTTGTATGTAATGATGGATATTCTGTTTATGGTATACAGTGGTGGGCAGAACCATTAGAACACCTGTATTTTCACCAGCTAACAAAAGGTTTTAAGTGTTTTTAAATGTGTTTTTTTAATTTCCTACTAACACACCACAGCAAACGATAACTGACTTTTTTAGCTGGTGAAAAAACTACCTTTCTAGTCATGTTGGCCACCACTGTATATTTTTACCTTTCAGAATGATTCATATAAATAGCAGGTGTATAATGGCCCGTTTCCACTGAGTGGTACGATACGGTTCGGTTTGGTACGCTTTTATGGCCGTTTTTACTGTCAAAAAGCGTACCGAACCAAACCGTCCCGTACCACTTTTTCGGCACCCTTTTGAAAGGGTACCAAACAGGAGAAAGGGTAAGCTACACGTGCAGCTGAACGCTGATTGGTTACGGAGATACGTCACGAGCTCGTGGAGCTACACAGAACGTAAACAAAGGAACCGTCATGTTTTTTAAAATAAAAAGCCGAGACATTACATGAAAATACAATATGCATATAAAAAGCCATGGATCACCCAGGCTCAAACAAACCTCGCTGTCATCTCGATAAACAGACACAAAGCCAAGATGAAAAATCTGCCTTGTCCTGTTGTTGTTTTACGAGAAGTCTAAAAGTGCGAGCGGTATTCGTTTTCTTCTGGGAGCTCGCGACCGCGTCTATATTTAATATAACGAACTTCTTGAGCTGATGATAATAATGTGTGTGTGATTATTGAAGTGTCTCCATCATCTGATCCATTCAGAAATAAAGGACAAGCACAAAAGTGAAGCGGGAGTGAAACGCGGAAAAAAAAGAGAAGCCGTCAAAACACATGTTTTAGCAACCTGAATCATGAACAAACTGCCGTGTTTATCTTCATCTTTTGGATTATTATAATCTGGGAATGACAAAAATTACTCTCTAACATGTGCTGGTGAAGATTACAGGCACAGATGAGAGGTTTGCGCTGACTGTGGGCTATATTGCGTGTGTTTTTGAACTCAAATAAGGACTAAATGTCTGCTGTGTGTAGTTTTTCTGTAATTAATAATATATTGGAGACTGTAAGGGGCTGTATGTGTTCATATATGTTGCATTTATGAATTTATTTAATATAATTACAGACGTTACAGTAGGCTATTTCGCACTGTCATTGATCTGCAGTTATAATCAACTCATGTTCATGGAAAAGTTAGTAATAAACATTTTTAAACAAGTATTTATGTGTATAAAGCATCTGTTTTGTGAGAAGTGCTGCTCATTATGATATGTGAACGACCCGTACAGCTTTACTGTAGACATTTATTTGAGCGAGCATGACGTCGACTTAAACTTTGTCATACACCACGTCCAACAAAAGGGTTCCCTTTGTGGTGGAAACGCAAGCCTGATAAAGGTGACCCGAACTGTACCGTACTGCAGGGGTTCCCAAACTTTTCAGCCCGCGACCCCCAAAATAATAATGTCAGTGACTTGCGACCCCCGTTTTTCAAGGTGGTTATACTGTAAATATACGAACGTTGCACACACAATTAAAGGCATATATAAACATGAGCATATTGACAACACAAAAACGCAACAGTCTAATAACTGTATCATGCTTATTTATAGTCATTTATTAATTTTATTTAATGTTAATATTAAAAAAGTTAAAGGCTGATGGTGGATTTTTTGTATTTGTATGTTGTTGTTGTTTCTTTAACGCTACTTTTAGCTTTCTTCTGTTGGTTATGAATAAAATATGGTCATTCTAATAGTTAATAAAATTTAGTTGAGTTTTGGAAACCACTAAGCGACCCCTTGTCATTGTCCCTCGACCCCCCAGTGGGTCCCGACCCCCACTTTGAGAACCACTGCCGTACTGTACCAGTCAGTGGAAATGAGGCATAAGCTGACTATAAAGACTATATTTAATCAGCCTGATGATGAAAGTAACAAGTTCAACTATGACCAAGTAATCATTTTTTTTTGTTTCAAATTGGCATTGACTAATACTGAATGTCCTATATAACCCATTTATTAATTTCACCACTGTAGCAAGCAACCTGGATATTCACTGCCTCTCCAAAACGACTCGGCCAGTGACCTCTGTCTCAGGGCTGGCACTGCTGGGGGTCTGTCTGGAGGATTTGCCTCCTCTTCTCTCCTGTTTTTGCAACTCGGCGTTCTCTTTTTTTCTGTTGTTTCATGTGTTTGTGTAGACTTGTAGTGTTGCCACAGTATCGAATAGACTTTCTACAAATATTGCCGTTTGTAATGTTTTAGTTTACAGCAATAAAATGACTTATTTTTTCTGTCATCTCAGAACAGCAAATAGTGCCAATAGTGCGTGATGTAAGGACAACTAATAACAGCAGAGCAAGAAGGAGCAACAGTGCATACAAGATATAAAAGGAATGGGGTGTTTAAAGACTCTTTTGTGAAAAAGGAGCACTGTACTTTAGCGTAAATTAGATGAAACTTAAATAAAGGTATCGATCTCGGAAGCCTATTATTGATCCAATATCAATACATTGGCATGGATACTATCAGTATTAGGATCGATCGGCCCACCCCGATTAGAAACGGCTTCTGTTGCTCGCAGTTGAACAGCAGCAAACCGACAATGATCAGATCAGGTACAGCTCATGTGCTTTATTCTGTCTTAAATGCTAATAATGTGAGTTTCAATGCCATTTTACAGAACATTTATTGGCGTACAACTGAAAGCAGCAGCAGATAGTTCAGCTCAGATCTAGAAAATAAAATAAACCGTCTGATATTGAGCTTCAGAACTGAGACTCAGTGCAAACCAACACATATCAGTGATTCAGCACCTACATTTAATCATGTTAAAGAGATTTAATATGTTTTCAGTAGGTTATAAACCCTTAACATTTCTCTGGAGTGCAGTGAGTACACTATTCTGTGCCTATAAATGGCTGTATTTAAATTTCTGTCCTGTTTCATCTAAATTGCTTTTCACTGCAAACCTCTCACTTAGCGTGTTGTTAGGACACAAGGTTACAATGTAATCTGCTAACCTAATGTTTACGTTCATAATATTTACACTATTTGCTAATTAATAACCACCTTATGTGGAACTCTGAATCTGCGTCTCATTTCAGAGTCTGCTACTGTCCACCAGAGGTCGCATTTCAGTCATGGCCACATGCTTTGAGAGCCTTCCTGACTGAATGGATGACATACGCTGTTTTACAGCATCTGGCAACCCGGGGTGCTGGAATATAATCGGCTAAACTGGCAGTTTAAAGAGACCAAAACAAAGACAGACTCTCCGGCACGTAGTGCACATGTTCAAAGCAAAATATCTGACTTCAGCATTGCTTTTCAGATAAACAAGAATGTTCACTGAGCATGTTTCTGAATATCTGCAAACATATGATAGTGTTTCATGCTTTATAAGAGTCAAAAACCTACATACAGCACCTTTAATTAGAGAAACATGCAACAAAAGGTAGTTTACAATGGCTTGAAACAATAATACAGTGGTAATGCTGAAGAAACATTAAACACTAAAAAAAAAACAAGATTTATTTCACATCGTCTTTACATATTTGCACTGTATAATGTTAAACAAAACATGATTTTCACAGTGTGCAAAAGCAAATCACATCAGAACACTGATTCAGAAAGCGTTATAAAACCAAAGCAACCATGCACAACACAAACGATATGAATTAGTCAACAATGGCAGACGTGTGTGTCACACAGAGAATGACTGAGATGGTGTTTAGATGATTTCTTAGCATCAGACGATGAAGAAGAAGAAGAGCTGGAGAACACAGACCCGAGCTCTGCAGCTGACAGTACCTGAGTATCCGAAGGAGATGCTGGAAATGGGGCTCAGATAAATGCCCTTCCCATACGCTGCTCCATGCAGCTTAGATTAAAGAGAAGAACAGGAGGAGAAGAGTTACACGCTCCGAACATGCCATCAACACGCTTCCAGTGACGGAGAAAGAGAGACAGAAACACCACAGCAACACTTTCACAAATGAGTCCAAAAATCAGATCAGCACTGCAGAAAATAAGCTCTTACTGAGGATTTTTGCTTTCAAGCTAGATTAATTTTTATATTCTTAAATCAAGATACAGATAAGAAAAATCCACATTAAATGAGCAAAAAAACATAAACAATATCTATAATAAAAAACATAAAAAACTTATAAAATATATATATATTTTTTTTATTTATTTATTTTATTTTTTTATTTTTTTATTTTAAATGTAAATACATTTTGAAACAATACAAAATATTAAAATATATCTTAAAATATTAAATAATACTATTACACCCCAAGGAATGAACAATTTCAGGTTTGCCATTATTACATTATGTTAGATATATATACATTTATTAAATGCCATATATGTATACATACATACATCACAGTGTCTCAAAAAAAATGCAAGCAAAAAAATTGTCAGAATTTCATCAGTATACCTCTAACTTTAATTATATTTTTTAGAAAATTATATGATCTGTATACATTTTCCACATCACCTGATTTAGATCACCGCATTACCTTGTTAAACAATGATAACCCAAATACTGACAGAACAATTTTACTACTTGTAAACTAATTTAGCACGCACAGAAATAAGGCGCTGTTTACATATCGGCGTCATTAATTGGCAGACTGATTCTTGTAAACCTCTGATCCACACCACTTTTATTTAAGCCTTACGCAACTAAAAATAAATTCGTCATCATTACGTCCTCATCGCCAAGGAAAGTAAATAAAAGGATTATTCTAATCATGTACGAAATTTGGCCATTCTTACTCCTGTAGTACAATTATTATTGTATGACATATTACTGCTTGTTTTTTGTTTTCTTTTGTTTTTTTTTAAGACACTGTCTATATACAGTTGAAGTCAGAATTATTCACCCCCCATGGAATTTTTTTTCTTTTTAAATAGTTCCCAAAAGAAGTTTAACAGATTCAGGAAATATTCACAGTATGTCTGATAATATTTTGTCTTCTGGAGAAAGTCTTATTGGTTTTATTTCGGCTAGAATGAAAGCAGTTTTAAATCAAAAAAAAATTTTTAGGCAATTTTTTTACTTTGATAGTCTACAAAACAAACCATCATTATACAATGACTTGCCTAATTACCCTAACCTGCCTAGTAAACCTAATTAACCTAGTGAAGCCTTTAAATGTCACTTTAATCTGTATAGAAGTGTCTTGAAGAATATCTAGTAAAATATATATTGTTTTGTCATCATGGCAAAGAGAAAATAAATCAGTTATTAGAGATGAGTTATTAAAACTATTATGATTATTATCATAAACTATTATGGGCTTAAAAAATCTGCTCTCCGTTAAACAAAAAACAGGAAAAAAAATCTCTAAATATAGCCCCCCTGTTGTTATGTATGTATGTATGTATATATATATATATATATATATATATATATATATATATATATATATATATATATATATATATATATATATATATATATATATATATATATATATATATATATATATATATATATATATATATATATATATATATATATATATATATATATATATATATATATATATATATATATATATATATATATATATATATATATATATATATATATATATATATATATATATATATATATATATATATATATATATATATATATATATATATATATATATATATATATATATATATATATATATATATATATATATATATATATATATATATATATATATATATATATATATATATATATATATATATATATAT